GTAGATGCTGCCTGAGTTTCAGTCATCTGTTCAATGGTCCTAAAGTTTTTTAACTCTCTGAATCTACAGCCTTTATCGTTTGTTCTAATCAACTTTCTATTGCTATTGGAAATAGCCTTGGTCTTTGCCAGAGTAAGAGAATCTGTTATAAGAGGGTTGTAAACAAGGAAGGTGAAACCGAGAAGAGGTCCTGCAGGCAAAAGAAAGGAGGTTTGAATTAAGTTGTGAGAGACGTCAATCTTCTTCCTTTATTGTTTAATCTAGAGGTGTTTCCATCCAAGCAATAGCAATACTGCAATGACTGTACTGGTACCTGGCAACATAATAGAGCTTATCCTTAAAGCATTTTTTCCTTGTTTCTGGACCACTCCTCAACAGGCATAAAGCACTTATTATGATATTGCCTGCATGTAGAAATTATTTCATGGTTAGCAGCTCAGTGATGTTCTATCACGTTCTTGGTTAATACATAAACTCATCTGGATACAGTAATATTCTTCATAACATCTTTCAGAAATTATCTTCTTAAATCAAAATGTATTTATCCAGTTGGAATCAAGGTGAAGAGACCATGCCCTCTTTTGGTTTGTTTAAAATACTAAGAAGAAAATGGCATGTGAATCATTCTACTCCCTGCTGTAACTTTGAGTTTTTTCTTGAAGAAACAAATGTATTTGGGGGTGAATTTTATACCTGGTTGAGAAAAATGCTCCTTAAGAGCCTGGTCTAGGGAAGAAGCTACCTACTATGGAGAAAGGCACACTTACAGCTGAGAATCTTGCCTTTATGATCTCCTGTGGAATCTCTGTTTTCTCCTGAGTCTCAGTATGAGGATCCTAGAACACTGTTTTGTTTTAGGCCATTCCATATCTTTCCAGTTCTTTTTTGTTAGCAATGTATTTTAATATGCATGCTTTGTGTGCAGTGGATCTACTTCTTCAAAATGGATATTTCTGTGAAATTTACAGCACTTCTGTATATAATACTTTCTGGGATTTACTTTCTCTAGTTCTTTTATAAGGATTAGCAGAACAGTTAGTACTCCTTGGCATTGTGAGGCTAGAAGCATACAGTTCAGTGATTCTATGATAACATTCCAAACATCTTTAGGGATCAAAAACTTGCCAGTGATGTTTTGCAATACTATTTGTAAGTCAGAGACTGTTTGATTAACTTAGCAGTTCTTGTCTTGAACACATATTTTAAGTGCTAGAAGAATACTTTTACTCAGAAAAATGAGATATTGCTGGAATAGATGACAAAGCAACCTCTCTAACTATTATCCTAATAGGAAATAGCACAGATTTTCTCGGCTGAGGTGCTGTTTCAGGAAGGGAGTTGCCTACTGTCATGTTCTTTAAACACTGCATATATAAGGCATCAGCCCAACTTCAGCAGGGCCACCCAGAGCAGGGTGCCCAGGCCCATGGCCAGGTAGAATCTGGAGATTTCTTAGGAGGAGACTCCACAGCCTCTGGGCAGCCTGTGCTGGTACTTGGTTATCCACACAGTACAGAAGTGCTGCCTGATACCCAGAACCTTTTGGATCTTTCTGTTAAGTTCTCAGCTTTGTCTGAGTATAATAGAAGATGGTTTCTGGAATTTTTTTTTTTTTTTTAATCTCTAGCAAATCTTGCTTTTGTCACAGGATTATCTCTAGATAAGTCTGTGACGGGGGGCACAGGCCCTTGAAAAAAGAGACACCCCGTATTCCTTATACAAACAAACAATATGCGTTATGTATACACATATCTATATACATGGAATCACTGACTGCACTCCCCCAGCATCAAATTCCCTTGTGGTACACACTGAACATTCACATTTTTCTCCATCGCTCACCAAGTGCACCCAGGTCTCTGTGCAAAAACAGTTCCACCAAGAGGTTTGCCCTTTCCAGAAGCTGCAAGGACCCAAACGGCTTTTCCCAGCATGCTCTTTACATGTACTACAGGGACCTTATCTACCTCTACAGTATGCAGGGAGCTGGATTTTGTAGGACCATCCTGATTGACCAATCCTCTGGTGTTGACCAAGCAGGTGGCTTCTGCCAAATGCTTCTCCCAGTGCTTAAATGTGCCAAGTCCTCCAGGGATGCTGCCCCTTCCATCAGAATACTCAAAATGCCCATAATAGGCAGTAAATGGAACCAGAATGTTAACTCTTTAACTCCCACTGTTTCACATGATATTTTGATGTGGAATACTGACCCAAAAAAAAACCAAAAAACCAAAAAAACCAAAAAAACTGCTATTACAGAAATGTGGTAGGATTAATTGCACAACTGGAACACTAATATAAAGGGGCTATGGGCTTTTAAAAAGAGAGAGGCAGGGCAGGAGGAGAAGGGTAGTTGCCCTCTCTTTTAAGAAGTGGGTATAGAATCATAAGGTTGGAAAGGACCCACAAGATCATCTAGTCCAGCTGTCCTCCCATTACCATTGCTACCCCAATCTTCTAAACTCTATCTTGTAGCTTCTCATCCAGATGCCTCTTGGATGCTGCTGGGAACAGCGACTCCCCACCTCCCTGGGAACTCTGTTAATCTTGTGCTTAAAGTAACTGGCAATGAAGAAATGCACATCCATAAATCAATGGATACTAACCTCTGATTTATTTATTTAATGGGTCACGTGTTCTACGTTCACCATAAACACGGATAAAGGCAACTTATTTCCTCCTCTACTCTTTGTATTGGCATTCATGCTGTTGAATACACTCCTTTCATAATACTATATTTTGTCAGTATTCTACAGTTATTATTTCCTTAAAAACACTCCTGTGATATCAACTGTATAATAAACTATAATTCAAAGTAAAATATCAGCTATTTCATCCATGAGAGAGAATAATAAAGCCATAATAAAAAGGAATAAAGTTTAACAATATGATAATGTAGCATGAAGTTTTATAGACTCCATGCAAATGTTAAAATCTATAAATTTTTTTATAGTGTAATATAGTAAAAAAAAAAAAAATAGTTAAAAAGAGGACAAAAGGGAGTGGAGAAAGGCAACAGTAGCAGGTTAGTTTACTGCTGAAATTCTGATTTCTTTTTAGAATATGGAATGTGGAAAAAATTATGCGTATGAAATAATTTGCTTGTGGCTTATTTTAACTATTATAAGTATCACAAGTAAACTGAATAAGGAAATCAAAAGTTTCTACTTCCCAGCCCGGTCTACTTGTAAATTCAGAAACTTTAAAGGCTGATCATCTCTCTCCTTGTCTCTCTTTGCTCACACCTAGTATCCATGAACGCACTTTGCATTTTTCTCATCATACTCCTTCTGTTTGTTGTCTATCTATTTTGGTTCTAACTGAAGGTGAAAGGATGCACAAATATGGGAAAGTGGACAGAAGATCAAATTCTCCTTATAACCGTTTCCTCTATGTTGTATCATCCATTCTATAACTTGTGAGATATGAATATCAAACCTTCATTTTCTAGCAGTCTAATGATTATTTCATTGTACTCATCCATTACTTAATCTATCTTCTGGCACTACATCATGCTAGGCATTTGCATTTAAATAAAACTTCTAAAAGACAAAGTAAATACATTTTGTTAAAAAAATTCTGCCTTTGGAGACAGCTGAGGTTGGCTGTGCAGGGCTCTGAACACACGATGCAGCTGCAGGTGTTCCTGTTTGTTGCAGGGGAGTTGTAGATGATCTTTAAGGGTTCTTTCCAACTCAAATGTTTCTATGATTCTATGAAAGGAAGCTGTAGTGAGGTGGTTGTCACTCATTTCTCATGTGACAAGTGATAAAACACAAAGGAACAGAATCAAGCTGTGCCTTGGGTTAGATTTGATGTTAGGAAGTACTTCCTCATGGAAACTCTGGTCAGGGATTGGAACAGGGTGCCTGGGCAATTGGTGCAGTGGTATAGCCCCCATCCCTGGCAGCATTCAAGATGTGGATACAACACTCAGGGATGTGGTTTAGTGGTGGACTCAGTAGTATTGATGGTTGGACTTCATGATTTTAAAGATCTTTTCCAAGCTAAATTATTCCATGATGTAGCTGCTTCTGTTGACAGATGGTTCATCACTGACAACAGCAGAGTGCATTTTGCTCACGTAATCAAGATTATTGTAGGATTTCCAAAAAGGAAGAAGAGTAAGCAGAAAATAAAGATCTGGCTGAGAACTTCTAGAATCATTCAGTTCAGAACTGCAAGTTGAGGAACAGGAGTTTTTTCAAGACTCCCTAAGGGCTGTTCCACATCTCCACATGCTCACCTGCAGGATTTTAAGGGCAACCTGCACCTAAGAGGGAGAGGGGCCAGCTTCTGTTCACCATATTCATCCTGAAAAATTGCACAAAGTTTCAGGAAAACTTCCATATGTTTCAAGAGGATTAAGGGGAAGGAAGGAGCACAAATGCAGGAATAGGCAGTGAAGGTAACACCGAGAAATGTTTGGACTAACACCTGCCATGCCATCTACTAACCAGCCATGATGTATAACTATTACAGCAATTCAAGTTTCGTATTAAAGACAAGAAAATAATTTCTTCACTGATACTGAGACCTTAGTTGCAGTCCTAAGCAACAGAAGGCGTGGTCTCTCTACAGTAGAGATTTTCACTAAATGTGGAAATCCTTTAGTTTTTATCATACAGGCAAAACACAGGCTGCAGAAAATGATACTTTAGATAAAATTGGACTTCAATAACCAAGGGAATTATACTTAGTCTACTTTGAGATCCAAAACTCAACTGTTTGAATTACGTAAAAGTGTGTTATGTGAATCTAACAACCATCCAATAAAGATGTGCTTGAATTAAGGTAAATACAAAGGTGCTCCTTGCCTAAAATCCGGTACTGCACTTAAAAAAAATAACAAACAAAACCAACCATTAAAATTACTGTCATGTGATGGCACTGCCTTGAGAGAAAAGCATGTGAGAACTGTTCCCCAAGCTAAACTAGTCAGAATAACTATATTAAGCAACTAAAGTAGGTAAAGTAAAACCTACTGCTTGTTCCACAAGTGCTTTCTGTAACTTAGAATTTAATGAAACATTTAATTAGGAACATTTCTACAACCCACAAACTCTTAAAAATTACAACATTAGGCATAGCAGGTATCTACGAAGATGTAGAATTTCAGTACCAACATTCTGCCTGATCACACACTTGTTTGCTCATTTATGATGCCCAGCACACCTGGATTATGCAATTCTAGAAGAAAAGCACAGTAAAAGTAAAAGCACAGTAAAAACATTTAAAAAAACAAAAACCCATACAATTCATATCCCTAAGGAAAATATTTTCTTTAAACACTTAGTTGAATCGTGTTCTCTCTCATACCATAGCTAAATCTTTTGCTTGTTAGTTTTTTTTTATTTGAAATTCTCAGGAGAGTAAAGCTATGCTTATCTGCACATATCTGTACCTTGTAAATTGAGTTAATCGTAAAATCCTAAAGCAAAATGTGCAGTGAAGTCTAGTAAGTCACTGCCATTTGAACCATGCATTTATCCAAGGCACTGCATAAAAAACAATCAGTCTAATACATGAAAATCTGAACCTTCTAACAAGGTTGACTTTTTTCCTTTTTTTCACATCAAGTGACCAAAGGCAGCATACAAAGTATTACAAGGAAGTTCACAAGTTCTGGGTCCTTCATCATAGTCATACTGAACATTGGCCCCTTATATAAGTCACAGACACAAAGCTGTAAAAGGTAATAAAAAAAATACAATTTTATTGTGTTAGTCTGCATATGTATTGATACAGTTGTTCTGAGAATGCTTCTGAGGAAAATTTTTCCATAAATCTGACTCTCCCAGCTGCTCCCATTGAGTCCTTCAAGAGAGGATCTCTCACGATTTTTTCCATGGCCTCAGAGAATTGTGTTGGCAGAGGATCACACAAAAATCCTGTAACGTTATTCAAAATTGATTCTAAAGGACCACCCGAATTAACTGCTATAACTGGACGTCTCATGTACATTGCCTCCAGAGGAACAATGCCAAAGTGTTCGTTACTTGGTGTGTACAGCACACACACACAGTTACTAAGAAGAGAGATTTTTTGTTCATCTGTGAATGATCTCACAAAAGTGACATGGTCACTAACGTTAAGCTTAGTTGCAATTTTCCTTAGTTCTTCATAATGCTCCACATTTTCCAGAACTCGTTTATCATAGCCACCTGCTATAACCAAGTGAACTTCACTCCACTGATGAGAATCGAGTCTTCCTCGAAGCTCATGCAAAGCTTCAAGAGCCAATGTGAGGTTCTTTTTTCTTTCGTACCTATTAATAGATAGAAACAAGAACTTGGTCTTTTTGGGAATCAAGTCAACTATGTCCACAGGAACCACTGTCTCAAAGCTACTGGTGTTGAGTGATGGATAAAGGACATCTGGGTTTATGTGAGACAAGGATTTAAATGTCTCCTTGAATACACTGGCAGTGAATTTGCTGTTCACAACGATGCAGTCTGCCATGCCAGTGGTGTACTCTTCCAGCCAATCCAGTGGCATTCTGTAGAGGCGCTTTAGAAAAGATTCTCTCTTGGTAAGGAGCTGATCAGGAAAGTGACAGTAAAACAAAACCTTCTTCCGTGTTCTGGCCAGCCTGAGTATCGGAATGCAAGCGGACACCTAGTGCAAACCAGAAGAGAGGACAAGGCATTTATTATTTGTGGTAGCACTACTGCTGCAAAGGGTATGACAGAATCAACAAGGTAGGAAAAGATCTCTAAGGCCATCTAATCCAACCATCAGCCCACCCCCACCATGCCCACTGACCACATCCCTCACTACCACATCTATATGGATCTGGAACACTTCCATGGACGGTGACCCCACCGCCTCCCTGGGCAGCCTGTGCCACTGCCTCACCGCTCTTCCAGAGAAGAAATTCTCTCTAACATCCAAACTGAACCTCGGAGCTCCCCCTCTCAACCCAAGCACCCACTCCCTACGACCCCCAGCCCGCGTTCTTTCTCAGCGCCCACCACCAAGAGAAAGCTTCAAGAATACGACGGCGCGGCTCACCCCGTCCCCACCAGTCACCCTCAGGACGTTCCCCCCCCCCCCGGCCCTGCCCCTCAAGATGGCGGCCGCCCGCACCTGGTCGCAGATAAAGGCATCGGCGTGCTGCCCGCTGAGCAGCAGGACGTAGAGAGCCACGAAGACCATGCGCAGCGCGGCGCACACCGCGTGCCCGCGGCCCCAGAAGCTGCGCGGCAGCCAGGCCCCGGCGCGGTGCACTGCCAGCTGCCGCGTCTCGGCGAAGCAGCGCCCGGGATCGTAGTGCGCCGTCCACACCTGCACCCGGCAGCCCCGGGCCTTCAGCGCCAGCGCCGCGTCCACCACCAGCCGCTCCGCGCCGCCCAGTCCCAAGTCCGGATGCAGGAACAACACGGACGGGCCGCTCGCCTCCTCTCCCTCCCCCTGCTCCGCCATGGCGCCGAGCGGCAGCGCGCATGCGCCGCCAGCGGGCTCTAGGGCCACGTCAGCCCATCTTGCTGGCCGCTCTTCCGCCTCCCCTGCCGGGCCGCTCGCACGCTGCCGGGCCGCTCGTCCCACTCCTTCTTGGAGCTGACACCTCAGCATGGCCGCCTGAGGGGACGAAGACGACGTGTGAAGGCGTCTCGTTAGGAAAGAGGCCCGGCAGCGGGCGGAGAGGAGGGAAAGGAGGTAGGCGCTGCGTCAGGCATCGCTGCGGGCAGCCCCGGGGACCTGAGGGCGGGGGCTCGAGCGGGCGGGGCGGCACTGCGGGTAGGGACGTGGCTGTGGGAAGGGAGCTGTGTCTGCCTGCTGACTGATCGACTGCAGCCAGCGCCGCCGCCATGGTGAGGTTCCACGCTCCTGCGCTGCTGCTTCCAACTCGAGGAGCTCCCCGTCCTGATGTTCTTCCCCTCCTTCTGTTCGTTTCTCCCTAACCCCACTTCTTTTTTCCTCCCGCAGCCCGGGCCGAGCCCTAGCGCCACCAACGTCGGCACGTCCGGCCGCTCCCCCAGCAAGGCCGTGGCTCCCCGCGCCGCCGGTTCCACCGTCCGGCAGAGGTAGGTGCCGCGGCAGTCCCGGGCTCGGCGCTGCGTTGTCCTTCATGGCGTTCCGAGTGAGTGCCGGAGCGGCGCTGAGGGAGGGCTGGGCCGTGCGGAGCGTCCCGCTGCGGACGTGTCAGTGAGGTGTGCTTGAAGGGGAGAGCTGCCGTCGGTCCGGCTGGTGTCGGTCCGGCTTCTCGGCCCTCGTGTTACGTGGGCGTCGTGCCCGCAGCGTATTGTACTGCCCAGTTTTAAGTGCTTGTCTCGTTTCTTCGGTTTGTTGGGCACTCTGTTGATGGAGAGATAACGGATTGTGGCCTTTGCTTTGTTCTGTTACTCCCTAAAGGAAGAACGCCAGCTGTGGCACGAGGAGTGCAGGCCGTGCCACGTCCACAGGCACTGGTGGGATGTGGCGGTTCTACACTGAGGACTCCCCAGGGCTCAAAGTGTAAGTTGAGTGTATGAGCGTGGGGTGATGGATTTCAGCTGTTTGGTTGTTTGGTTTTTGAGTTGAGAGATCAGTGCTGTGGTGTGCAGGGAGAGGTGAGGTGAGCTGATGACTGGTTAGATGTATTCAGCAGGAAATCTGGTTTTTAATCTTTAGAGCTGGAGGGAGGTACCGACTTTTACAACTGTGAAATTGGAAAGGTTACTTGTCACAGTGAATTTAGGCATTAGAAATAGTTGTGTCATTTCTCATAGTTAAACTTTTGTCTTTCCTTACTAGTTGGTGTGTTGTGACATTTTACACTTTCTTGAAAACGTAACACTACAGATTGGCTATGTTTACACAGTGTCAGGTGTTCTTATTAAAACAAACAAACAAAAAAAACAACAAAGCTTATTGCAGGAAAGCTTTCCAACTAACTAACTTTCCTGTACCTTGCTTCTCTCTGATACTATGAGAGGAACATTCCCAGGTTACAATCAGACATCTGATGGTAGCTTCTGTTGACAGCAAGAGGGGCACTGTGTTTTTCAGTCCTGGGCTAGTCTAAGTCAGATCAGTTTCTCAAACTCACCTAGCAACCTAACGTGTGAGTAGCTGAGGCAGGAGTGTTTCATCTAACAGGTGCAAATGCAAAGTTATACCCTCAGGTATGAGCTAATGATTTTTGTAGAGTTCACAGCCTCTAGTGTTTCGTTACTGGGCTGAAAAGAGCCAGTATATTTAGTGGTGCCTTTGGTTATGCTTATTGTTTATTTTTTTTCCTAGGATCAGTTAATGTTTCAGGGTTCCTTAAGCGTGCAGCTGTCTGTGTGAACGATTGGAGAAGGGCTCACGATACTCTGGCTTACCTTTTGTGTTCTCCTTTTCACATGCACTTAGCAGTTTTTAACAAAGTTCCTGCAGACTGTCAAAGTAGTGGTGCTCTGCTATTGCAGAATCACTGAAGGAAGCAAGGTAGAGAAAATGGAAAGAGTATGAGCAACAGTGGTGTTTTAGAGCATGTTTGTGTGTTGATAGGTAAGGCAAGTGTTTTCTGTATTATGTGGCCTACTGAAAATCAATTAAGAATGGAGAAGAAAATACCTATTCTTCTGATAGGTACAACTTTTAAAATGTAACAATGATGTAGCTGTCAAAGTAGATTTACCAGCTTCAGCATGATTCACAAGGGAACCTTTAGTTGTTGAGTGGTCAGTTTTAGAAGGTGCATTGTTCTAGTCTTCAATGCAAGCAGGTCTGTCGGTAGATTTTCCCATTTACTTGTAAACCAGTGGCTCTGAATCTTGTTTTAGAACGATGAAAGTATCTTTTACAAGCTAGCATGGGTATGTCAGGGCTTTTAATGGGTGAGATGTCTGTAAATGTGTGTTGATTTTAGAGTTTGCTTGCAAGTGAGCTGCAAGATTTTCTAAACTGTGGCTTGGGAGTAGCTTCCTTCCTTCCAAGCTTTTTTGCTTTCTGTATTGATTTCCTATTGCTATATTGCTAATCTGTCCCATTCAGTATGCTTAAGGATGAAAATGGGTTATATATGGGTTACAGTTGCCTCAGTTAAATGCTTCAGCAGAATTTGTGATTGCTGTTGCTTAAAGCAGTGTAAATCTAAACCTGGGATATCCTCTGTGGGGTGGGGTTGGCAGACCACTCTTACTCATCTAGTCTAAAGTAAGAGCTCTTTATTATTAGCAAGGATTATTTCATGCTCTCTGTGATCAAGATAACTCCACTGTAGATCAAATGTTTTATATTGTGTGTAATGATATCTCTGATGCTTCGAGGTTTTAGCATCTGTTCTCAGTGTCAGAAATAATAAACAAGCCAGTTTCTTTTGTCTCAGGAAAGTACTTTTTTTTCTTTTCTGAAATGCAAGATGTTATAAAATATCATTAAAAGCAAAAGGAGCTGAGGGAAATCTGAGAAGGAGATAGGATTATATTTGAATGAGCGTTTTGTGCTTTGAAAGAAAGAGTAAAGTCAAACATGCTTTGCTTGCTATGGCACCTGTACCCGTGGTTCCTCTATCTTATCTTAAACTTGATTGATTATTTGAAGAGCTATAGGCAGTGTTTGTGGTGGAACCATGGTGATATGAAATTGGACTTAAAGTATGGTATGCAGTCCTGTGAAAGGTGCACCTGAGAATGCACAACTCCAAATTTCTGGAGGTGCTTAAGCCAGATTTAGTATCTATTTTAAGTGTACACGATGAGCTAGGAAGATCCAGGTGTACGAAAGAGCAAGCAACCCCTAATACTTTGTTTCTGTGCGTGCAGTCTGTTTTTGTGTTATGTTATTGGTTTATATCCAGTGTGTTTTACATCTTTGTGTGGGATTCTTCATACTCAGGACTGCTAAATGTGATCAATAATGACTGAGACTTAGAATTCAATGGCAGAGGACAGCTTAGGTCTGTTAGAAAAATGTTAGTGAACTTTCTCATTTTAATCAAATTTGAGGTTGTTTTTTACGCTGTGTTCAAGTAATATTTGCCTGCTTCTAAATGGTAAACAGAAGGGTGATTTGTCAAGTGTGACTGGTTAAGAGAAGTCAGTGTTTATAATGTTATACATCTGACACATAGTTGGGTGAAGTAGGTGGTGCAAAGCAGCATTGAGAGAACAGTAGGTAGTGTGAGAAGGGGAAAAAGCAAACAAATCTGTTAAATTGTACACTTTGGGTAATGATTTGATGATGGACTTAACTTTGACATTCTGTGTACCTTTATTTTAAAAAAAAAAAAAAAAAAAAAAACAACAAAAAAAAAAAGCCAAAAACCAGCGATCTTCATCTCCCTCATTGCTGCCATTGTCTTTGAATGAAATAAAACCTTTGGGGAAAAAAAGACAACCAGTGTGAGTTTTACACCAAAATGTGAGTAGCCGCTAGAGGACTCTGTTGTTTCTTGTATTTCACCACATCTCCGCTCAGGCACCTTAGTAGTACATACAGATAATAATTTTCTGCAGATTGGTTTCATGGTGATGACTAATAATGAACCATGAATTACTGCTTAAATAAGTGGAAGTTGTTAATGTGATGTGATTTAGAGTTTTACATATCCGAATTGTTATGTAGCTGTCTCTTAAAGCAGAGCAGCAGCAGCATTTGTTTAATAAGAGGCGACTGTTTCATTTCTGTGTGTTTTATGATATTTCTATGGGAATGGAAAAAGAATTTTCTGTTTCAATTGCATATGAACTGATGAGTTTGCTTGGCTGGTAGTGACTGGCCTTTGGACAAAGCAAACTTTTTTTGGCTTCGTGTTAATGTATTTTTTTTCTTTATTTTTAGTGGGCCTGTTCCAGTTTTGGTCATGAGTCTCCTTTTTATTGCTTCTGTATTTATGCTGCACATCTGGGGTAAATACACTCGTTCATAGACTCAGCTGCCAACTTAAAGCATACATCTTGGACCAAAAATATGGTGGATCCTGGTTGTTCTTGGAGAGAGACTGGGGAAGCCTCCTGTCACCTATTGAAGTCCTACAAACTTTGACTGTAACACAGAATGAGCTTCTCAGTTGTCTGTGTGGGCAGGTTTTAAAGTCTGTAATGGGTCACTGCATCTGTACGTTTAGAATACAGGTATTACAATAAAATTTGTATATGGAAATTGAAATAGTCTTAATGTTTTTCCTCCTATTCCAACCAATAACTAAAGTATTGTACTTGTGGTTTCTGTATATCGCTGTCGCTGATTAAATGTCATTTGACAGTTGAAACCAGGTCGTTATACTACAAGTAGCCATGTAACTCCATACCAAAAAATCCTTTATGAATGAGGAAGGCAACATAGGGTGCATAAACATGTGATGCTAATGACTGTGTTGTTAAAACAAAATTGAGATACATGAACTTTGGTTGTGTTCTTTTATTAACTCCAGAAAAGCAAATGCTTTTATTTCCAAATTGTAAGTTAAGCCACTCAATACTGATTATACTAAAAGTATAAAGTTTTCTTGTTTTTTCAAGCTGCACTT